TGTATTTTTAAATGAATAAACACTAGTCACTAAGTTAGAATTGAATAACAATCCTTACTCATCGAGATCCCCCATATGAAGAGTAGAGCTGTGCTTTTTTTTTTTTTTTTGGATGCCTTTTTTAAACTTTTTATTATCATTTGAGTGACAGTATAGAGCTGTGCTTTATAAGTCTTTCCATGGCAGACTTTTTGGTAGTATGTTACTAGATCTTTCTTTTTAGGAGCCACTGAGTAGGTTCTAACAGCCAACATCTAGGTACATGAGCAAGCATTTGAGCATTGTCAACTTAGGGTACTTACTCTGAACTTCAGTGTTAAATATCTGAAAATAGAATTAAAGTCAAAGCTTAGAGAAGTTTCAACACTAGAGCTGTTTGAAATAATATTAGATAAGGTAGTAAATAAACTAAGTGTATATGAGAAAGTAAATGTGCAAATTTTTGACATTATGTAATTGTTGAACTTTTATAAAGTACTTAGATATCCTTGATACCCTGAACAGTAACTGAAATTTAATACAGACAATTCAGACCTTAGGAGCAAGAATATCATGTTGGAAAGATATTTTTTTTGAGTGTGAATGTGCTCCAAATGTATAATTTGTGATGTATTACTTCTTTCATGCTTATAGGAGACATGACAAATAAATTTTATGAATATCTGGACAATTGATTGATAAAGACTGAGACTGATAAACATTGATGATTAAAATTCCAAGAGGAAGGAGATAGCGCACTTATTTTGCTTCAGCTAATATCTTGTGATTGAAGGTAAGTGAAAGTGCAACCAGGGTGCTCTTTGGAGGAAACAATAGTGAAACTTGGTCTCACACATTTTGGACATATTGTTAGGAGGGACTAGTCCTTGGGAAAGGCAGAAGTTCAGTGTAAGAGAGGACAACTCTGAACAAGATGAATGGGCACATTGATTGTTAACAATGGGCTCAAATAGCTAAGGATGAAGATGTCAAAGGATAGGGTAAGGTTCTGATTTATTGTTCATAGCCAACTTAGAGACACCTAGCAACAACAACCACATAGAGCTTCAAGCGTTGAAGTGACAAGAAGTGAGCTTCAGTCAGAAAATACTTGTGAATAATCCATAAATAGAAAGAAAAAGTTCTTAACAGTGCATATCTGTGCTTCATTTGTTCCTCATTCCATTTTCCTCTTTCCCAATTCAGCGTTAGGCGACACCTCTGATGGCAATGACTCTAGAGGAAAAAGAGGAAGCAAACCACATCCCCTTTTCTTTCCCAAGTCTGAAATAGTACAGACAGAAATAATAGAAATCATTTGGCATTTAAATTTTGATTATAAGAGTCTGAAGTTTTGTTAATATGCAGTGCAAGCATCCTCATTTGTGAGATGAAACTTTTTTTCTACATTGTTTTGATTTCATCTGAGAGTAAAATGAATCTGAATTTTGTAAACAAACTAGTATAATAAAAAAATTTAAAATGGTGTTCTGTGATTCATCTGACAACTCAATCTCAGTTATAGAAGTAATTTTTTTGTCTTAAAAATTATTCAGTACTCCAGTATCTCATTCTAAGATCTTCATATAGCATGACTAAAATGAGAAGAAATCACTTCAAATATCTTTTATTAATTATTAATAAATTATAATTTGAGGAAATTATTAATTACTTTTTTACACAAAGTAAGAATCTAGGAAAATTCGGAGTTGTAGATAATGAAGGTGAATTATAAAGCCTGTTATCTTAGGCATTAGTAAGCAGAAATGAATTTGTATTGGTCATTTTTATTTTATCACGTTCTATTATGGTAGTAATGGCAAATTGAAAACGAATAGTGTATTATACCTTGCCAGTCTTTGGAAAACTATATACGCCTAAAAAAAATAGGGTCAGAGGGGAGCTCTGATGGCCTAGTGGCAAGAAGCTGCACTACAATCCCAGAGATATGCAGTTCGAATCCACCAGATGCTCTGCTGGAGAAAGAAGGGCAATCTTCTCCTGTACCAGTCAGAACTGATTTGATGGTACACATACAAAAAGTAATAAAGCTATTTTTTAAAAAAGTAGTGTCAGAAAAGGAGATTGTTGTTTGATGTATTACTGGAAAATTATTCCCACTCCTTTTGATCAAATGGGCCCTAAAAATGTCACAGTATATATCCAAGAGTAGAAGATGACTATATAGCACCTAATAAAACAATGTCACTCAAAATATCATTGGACATTCTTTGTACTAAAGTTCTAGGTAAATTTGAGCTAGAAGAAAACTAGATAGAGTTTCCAGGGTAGAAAACTCCCTCCCTAAATGGCTAGAATGTAACAATAAACAAGACAGCTTTTTAAGACTAGCAGTGTACCTACAAGGAGGCAATCTTCCACATCTACAACTCTCCTAGGTCTATTACTTGCTCCCAGCCTTTTCCTCTCAGATCTAGTGGTGGTGATGACTTCCAATAGGATATATTCACCCAGAATGATTCAACTTCACTTGGTTTCCCAGCCTTGTTCACTGAAAGTGAGGAGGACTCAAATACTTATTGTATAAGATCAAAGACTACAACCTTCAACATTAATTACATCTCAACATCAGGAACACAAAAATCCTCACTACTGGGCCAACAGGAAACAGGCAACTTCATGGTACATGAAGACTGGAATTTTCAATTATTTCATCTTATTTGGATCCACAATCAACACCCTTGGCACTAGCAGTCAAGAAATCAAAAGACATACTCTATTGGGAAGGTCTTTTCCAAAGTACTGAAGAATAGTAATGTTAAGTTTGAAGAGTAAAGTGTCCCTGATTTAGGCCATTGTCTTTTCAATCACTTGCTAGGCATCTAAGAACTGGACAATGAATAATGATGACAGAAGAAAAATTGATGCCCTTGAGATGGAGTGTTGGAGAAGAGTATTGGATATCCCATGGGCTACCAAGACAACAAACAAGTTTGCCAAAATAAGTTATGTCTTGGAGAAAATGCAACTAAAGTGCTTTTTAGAGTCAAGGATGGCAAAGTTTGTGTCAAATACTTTGGGCATGTTATTAAGTGGAGCTATTCCTTATATAGGACATCATGCTTTGAAGGGTGGAGGGTTAGCAAAAAAAGAGGAAAACCCCAAAGGAGATAATTTGACACAGTGACTGTGGTAATGTGCTCAAGTATGTCAGAGATGATAAGGATGGAATAGGAAGCAAGACATAGTTCAGGTCTGTAGTTCATAGTGTCCTATGAGTTGTACCCGACTTGAGGATATTGTCCAAGTGAATACTGTCCATTTGTTTTAATCTCTTCAAATGACCAAATTTATATACCCACCTGTCTTTCACTGACCCTTTACTGACACACTGTGCATTTCTTTTTGTACTATGTTTATCACTGACACTGTAATTTCTGGACTGTCTAGTTACTTGACTCTGAACAATTGTATTTCAGAACTTTTTGCTATTCTGAACATTTTTCACCTGTCTCTTTTTGTGTTGTTTTTTTTTGTTTGTTTGTTCGTTTGTTTCTAGTTCAGGCAATTCCCAAAAACATATGCATCTTGACATATTATTTTACTTTTCCTTGTACTTGATATTGAAAGGCATTTAAAGTTATAATTGAAAAATGTTTCTCAAGATTAAACTGGAATAAAAACTGATATAGAAAATAAAAGAAAAATCATTAAAATGAGGCAGATATAAACTTGTCTGTAGGAAAGAAATTTTGATGGTCATTTCCAGCATATATTAAAGCAATTTAGTTTTTAAATTTACTTCTTTTAAAACCTCTTTACATATTCTTTTTTTATGGGAAAAATTATGCCCCTCTGTTTTCTATTTACATAGAACATTAATAATAAACATTTGAAAGTTAAATTTGCTGATAAAAATTAGTTACTCTAACCCCACTTGATGTAGAAATAATTCCATCCTTGGCTAAGAATTCTGAGGTCAATTGAGAAGATAGAAAATTGCAAGACCCTGGTTGGTCACTGTTTCCTTCTTCTATTAGTTTAACTAAGAACCAGTTTCAGTCAATCCTCAGAAAGGCAGCAAGATTTTTCTGGCATACAAAATTGTTTGTAAGATCCTGGAAAAGTACTTTGGTCATATACTCCCTCATATGGTCCCTGAACCCAACATTCCTCAAAGAAGAAATTTCTTCTTTAGAGAAATTAAATTCTTCTTAGTGGTAAAAATCTGTGCTGCAATCCCAAAGGTATGCAGTCTGAATCTGCGAGCCGCTCCACAGAAGGATGGGCAATCTCTGCCAGTGTGACTGATTTCAACCTCTGAAAACCCACTGGAGGGTCAGCTATGGTTAGGTTCAAACTCAATGGTACATAACAACAACAACACGTTGCTTTTAGGCTTTGCCTTTGTTTGCAACTTTGTGGGTAACAGAGCTTGCTGTCTCCTCTCTTGAGTTCTGTCTGGGCTTGTTTGCCTTCCTGGTTAAAGTAGCCCTTCTCAGTTGTATCTTCAGTCACAATACTTGTAAAACATCTATGACATGCCAGTGCAGTGAAAAAAATGAGCATTCTTCAAAGAAGCCAGCCTTTCTGTAAATATGTAGCTTAAAAGTTGTAATGCTTTAACACCCTTTCATTAAATCCTATATTATACCTACACCATGTGATATTCATGATCTGTGTCTGTCAATGACTCCCTTGCAGAATACTAATAAAGTTAATAAAACAGTTTTAAGAAGTGATCACTGTGGCTCAGGTTGGTGTTTTTACTTTCCATCAAGACAATTCTGAAAAGAGAACTAATAGGAGGAAGGATGTTCATCTCTTCCTGCTAACAGTTTTAACAGCTCATCTATTATTGTCTGCAGAGGCAGAGGTTATTATTTTTGTTTTTATTTTCAGGAATATGTAGCTGATTGAGGCAAACCTTTAAGTATTGAGACTTAGAATACGTGAATTCATTTAACTTTCAGCTTTCTTAGTTTGCATTATATTAGTAAAATAGTATTTTGCTTTATTATGATTTGTAGTCTGTGGAGCTTTCCATTGCCTATCCATCAATGTCTGAAGAAGTAACTTATGCAGATCTAAACTTCCAGCACTCCAGTAAGACAGAGAATATCCAGAACTATAAAAACACAGGGAAAAAAGGTAAGCATTTGGGCTCTGGGTATGGTGTAAGGGGGTTGATGGTTATCTCACTGCATCTTCGGCTTGGTGAATTAGTTGTGCTTTCAGCCTGAGTATACTTTCTGTTTAAATGGTTTATTAAGTTTCTGATTTTGCAGAAATTTCCAAAAATTCATACAAACAGAGCATAAACTCTATTATGAAACATTAATTAGTGACACAAAAACCACTACTAAATTTTTTGTAATATTTATAATTTGTAATATTGAATTAAAGAATTCATTTCAGAAAGAGAAGTGATGACATTTCTGTGTTTTAGTTGTCTCTATTTCCCCACTATATGTGATACTTTAAATTCTAACATTAAAATTAACTTTTTAAAAAATTGTATACATTGTTAGATTTGTTGTTCTTGCTGTTATTATGTGCCATCGAGTCACCAGCAACTAATAGTGATCCTATGTACAATAGATCTGAACCTTGCCCTATCCTGAGCCAGTCTCATTGTCTCCCACACATCTACCCTGATTACCCCCATTACTGTGTCAATCCATCTCTTCTGGGGTCTTTCTGTCTTGTACTTTCTCTCCATCCTCCCAAGCATAATGTCTTTCTCCAATGATTTGTACCTCCTAGCCACATGCCAAAGTAGGTAAGACAGAGCTTCAAAATTCTTGCCTCCAAGGAGCAGCTTAGTTTCACCCTTTCCAAGACAGACTTTTTTGTTCTCTTGTAAATTCATGGTCTGTTCAATACTTCTCCAGCAACACAACTCAAAGGCATTGGTCCTTCTTCTATCATCCTTAGTTATTGTCCAGCTCTGGGATGCATAGCAAGTAATTGCAAAGACAATGGCCTGAAGGAGATGCACCTTAGTATCTAGTCTGACATAGTTGCTATTTAATACTTTTGGAGAAGTCCTTCACAGAAGATTTCTCTAATGTAATTAGTGTTCTTTATTTGTTTTTTAATTTCCTGAGTGCTAGTGTCAAGAGTGTGGATTGTGGAGCCGAGCAAGCTGAAATTGTTAACAATCTCAGTCTCTTCTCCATTTATCATAGTGCTTCCAATTATCCAAATGGTGAAAATCTTTGTTTTCTTGATATTGAACTTCAATTCATATTGATGACTACAGTCCTTGGCCTTCTGCAGCAAGTGCTTCAAATTTTACTCAGTTTCAGCAAACAAGGTTGTTTTATCTGCATAATGTATGTTGTTGATGAGTCTTCCTCCAATTCTGATGCCATTCCTCCTCATAAAGTCCAACATCCTGAATGCTCTGTTTCTATACAGATTGGAAAGATATGGAGACAGGACACATCTTTGATGCACTCCTTACTTAATTTTGAACCATGCAGTATTTTTTTTTTTCCTTCTCTGTTCTGAGGACTGCTTCCTGATGAAGATTTCTCATGGGCACTGTCAAGTCTTCTAGGATTCCCACTTTTCTCAAGGTTGGGCACAATTTGTTGTGATCCACACAGTCAAATGCCTTTGCATATTCAATGAAACACCGATAGACATTCCTCAGGTACTCTTTGCTTTCAGTCAAGATCCATCTGCCATTGGCTATAATGTCTCTAGTGCCACGATCTCTTCTAAACCTGGCCTGCGTTTCTGGTAGTTCTCTGTCAATGTTTATATTCCAGTCATTTTTTTTATAATCTTCAGTAAGATTTTACTTACATATGATTTTACTGTAACTGTTCGGTAATTTCTATAGGAGTAATTTATAACTACTTTGCTAATTCTCTAGGAACATAATAGAATATTTATATGTGAATTTAATCTTGTATGAATTTTCCTTTTTGAAAAAGATTTTGTAATATTTTCTATTTTCTTGCTTATATTTCTCCCTTGTTTCATGGTCTGTCAGGATGAAATTACTTTTTATTTAGTATTACCAACAACTAGAACTTTGTCAATATAATGACTTTAATTATATTTCTCCCATTCTTTTCCTACTAATCTACAGTATTCTAAATTTTAAACATTAAATTCTTTAATATTCTGGAAATCTTGAAATCACATTCTGTCCTCCATTCTATTTGATGTTTTATTCAGCTAATAGTGTATTTTTTGATAAAAAATATTTTTCATTTCTTTTTCTTGGAAAAAAAACCCCCGCAAAACTCAATTCAACTTAGTAACATGGAGTTAGAACTGATTCATGACCTTCTGGTGAGTTTTCATAGTCTGTAAATCTCATAGGAAGAGAATTCTCATCTTGCTCCTGTGAGTCAGCTGGTGGATGCAAATCACCTGCTTTGGGGTTATCAGCACAATTTCTTACCTATCAGCTTATCAGAGCTCCCTTGAAAAAAATTAAAACTGGTTCAATCCAAACATCCTTTCCCCTCCTTCCCTACTCCATTTTCACCAGCCAATGATCCTCACAAGAAAAATGTACACTATTTTTCAGTAAAGATTTACAACTTCAAAAACCTAATTAATGGAGGTTTACCAGAAGTCAAATCAGACTCCATGATAGTGTAGTTGCTCTAAAGAAATAGATAAATATTACTGGCAAAAATTGAACAGTGCAGGTACAAGTCGCACACTTTTTCTTTGTATTATCAATATTTTCATTATGTCATATACAAATTTATATTCTCAGTCTTCTTTCTGGATATCAGTCACTAAACACTTTTAAATCTGGGGCTGAATTCCAGAGTGTCTCTCTTAAGGACATTTATTCACTGATTTTCTTCTTGTTTTCCTGCTTGATTGTATTTCTTCTGTAGTTGTACCCACTTGTTGTTATGTATAATTGAGTCATAACAGACTCATAGCTGTCCTTCCAGCAGGTTTTCATAAGCAGTTAATTGCACAGGAAGAGACTGCCCATATTTCCCCATGGTGTAGCTGGTGGATTTGAACCATGTACCTTTGGATTGGCAGCACAAGTCTTCACCATTAGGCCAAGAAACTTCCTAAGTGCACCTAAACACTACTTCTATCTTAACAGTGCATAATCTGCAATTATCCACTTACATCTTTCTGTTTAAATTTTTTTTGTTCCTTTCTACAATCAAACTTATGCCAAGTGTTATTTACAGTCTCTGACTTTCACTTTCTCATCTCTTATTTTCTTATCACTGGACTTAAATAGGTTTCTTTCCTCATTGTTCTGTGAGCCACTATACTTATAAGCCCATCAATGTCCTTTTTGTCCCATTCCAATGGTGCTATCTCTGTTCTTGTATTACTAACTTTCTCTGAGCTATTTACCAAGTTGGAAAATTCCTCTTTAAGCACTTACTTTGTATTTCTTCAAGTTGCTGTTGTTATGTGCCTCCAAGACAAACAGGACTCCTAGTAACCCTATAGAAAATAAACCTAAACATGTCCTAAACTAAGCCAATCTTACTGGCTCTGACACATTTGCTCTCATTGCCACATTCACTGTGTCAATCCATCTCATCCAGGGTCATCCTATCCTGTGCTGACTTTCCACGCATGGTGCCCTTCTCTAAGGACTGTTCCCTCCTAATAATATTTCCAAAGTATGTGAGATGGAGTTTCAAAATCCTTGCTTCCAAAAAAACAAACAAAAAAAACCCCTCGGTTTCACCCTTTTCAGGACAGACATTTTTGTTCTCTTGGCAGTGCAAAGTAGGTGCAGCACCACAAATCAAAGACATTAATTCTTCTGTCATCCATATTTGTGGGAATTAGACACATCTTAGTCTCTAGACTGACTGCATTGCTCTTCTGCACTCTGGAGAAGTCATTGACAGCAGAATTCCCCAATGCAACTTGTCTTTTGGTTTCTTGATGGTTGGTGCCAATTGTGGATCTTGTGGATCAAAATCTTTAATAACTTCAATGTTTTCTCTATGTATCATGCTGATGACTATCAGCCTCGTGGTGAGGATCTTTGTTTTCTTAATATTGAAATGCAATCCATATTGAAGGCTCTAATCCTTGATCATCTGCAGCAAACATCAAGACCTCCTCAGTTTCAGCAATCTAGGTTGTGTCATCTGTGCAAAGCAGGTTCTTGATGAGTCTTCCTCTAATCCTGATTCCAAGACCATTCTTTTTCATAAAGTCCAGACTCTCAAATGATCTGTTCTGCATGTAGTTAAAAAAAACCCTTATGCTTTCACAATTAAAGCATAAATTCCATGAAGGCAGGGCCTTTTAGGTTTCATTTACCCCTATTTAGCTAGCAGTGTACAGTTTATAAAAAGTCCATCATAGACAGTTCTTTAAATAATTGAATAAATGAGAAAATAATTCAAAAGAAAGAACTTAAACTCCTCATTCCAGCCTTCAATAAGGCTGCATAGATACTTTTTTACTATTATTTTCCAAAGTAGGAGAAAATACCACACTTCAGTCCTCTCTAAATTTTGTAATATTATTCCCACATTGCCTTCTTAGACAAAATACATGTAAGACTTGTGACTCTGGGTCAGTATTACAATTCTCTTTGAGTTGTGTCAGCTAAGGCACTTCCTCTTTTACATCAATATGACAGATGACTCTCAATTCTGGCTAGACAGAATTTTTTTTTCTCACACTGATGCACGATTCTTCATCATTTCTGTTACTGCTGCTGGTTGACATAGATTTCTGTCTAGTGCAGAAATCTCTGATATATAAAGGATGTGCTGAACTCTTTGCTGCTTCTTTTCTGATGGTAGTGAGATTCTAATTTTCTGCCTCTGAACTTGCTGAGTGTGAGTCTAATGGGGTGATAAAACTGACCAGTTTGCTCAACCACTAGTGGTCAAGTGCCTTTGAGTCGAGTATGACTCATAATGACCCTATGAACAACCAATCTGAACCCTGTCCTATCCTGTGCTATCCTCATAATCTCTGACATACTCAAGCCCATTGCTGCAGTCACCCTGTCAATCCACCTAGTTGGGTCTTGCTGTCTTTTGTCACCGCACCCACCCCCCTTTCTCAACCAAGGAATGACCTCTCCTAACAACATGCCCATAGTATGTGAAATTAAGCACTATCAATAGTATACACACCTTACCAGCATTTTCCTTCCCAAAATATGT